TTCGTACCTCCCCCTACTCATTCACCTAAAGATACAAAGATAATATCTGGGGTGCCCAATCTGGCTGGGCACCCCAATTTATCTAAGTTAATACTTACTGTTCATCTGATGGTCAACATATATCTAAAAAGAAAAAAAAATTATTCTTATAAATTTTAACTCACTGTTCATTTGATGGTCAAAATAAATCTAAAACGAAAAAGAAAAAAAAATTTATTTGAATAAATTCTAACTTACCGTTCGATTAATCGCCATAATAAATCTAAAAATAAAAATAGAAAATTATTTAAATAAATTCTAACTGACTGCTCTATTTATCGTTGTAAATGATCTAAAAATGAAAAGTAAAATTTATATAAATAATTTAATACTTACTGTTCTATTTATTGTTGTGAACAATCTAAAATTAAAAACAAAATCTATTTAAGGGCACTCCACTGAAAAATTGATTTCAGACCAGGAACATCCTAATTGCATGAAACTTTCAGGATATGTTGGGGCTGATGTGGGAAGGCTACGATAAAATTTTCAGCTCTATGCCATGATGTCTGCCCAAGCAGACAAAAATTTCAAAAAACGCGTTTAAACGCACAATCGGGAACCGCGACTCTGATCCATTCACGCTCATTAAAAAAACGCAAGAAACGACGTTTTTTGTGCAAAATAGTCAATTTTCAAGCGTGAAAACGGCAAAAATATAAAAAACTGAGCGTTTAAACACGTCATTTTTTAAATCTAGAAAAAGAGACCGTTTTAACACTAGAAATGTAAGTTTTCCACCGTTTTCACGCTTNAAATAGACAGAAATGTGCAGAATTTCATGCTCTATCTTTCTATTCTATTGAAGATGAGATCTAGGGGGGTGGCAGATTTACGACCTTATCCGGCGGTGTCCTTTAGAAATATCATGAATACCCTCAAGATATCAAAACGCCACTACAATATTGACACTTTTACGTCCGTATCCCTAGGCGTTGAAGACCTATGGATGTTCCCATAGTATTTGGCTTTAAGACTGAAGAGTACCCCAATAGTGTACCACATAGGAACTTATCGGTACATTTGTAGTGTAGCATCATAGGGCATAAGGATACCCTCATAGTACAAGGTATGAGAACCTAAAGGTACTTGTATAGAATAGACCTGGACGACCTAGAAATACCCTGATAGTATAGCATTTGAGGACCTATGTGTAGCTCTGTATGATAAACCATGCGGACTCAAGGGTATCTCTGAGTAATAGACCTTGAAGACCCAAGGCTACTTGCATAATACAGCATATAAGGACTCTGAGTACCTGTATAGTATAGTCGATCCAGGGGTATCTCTAAATAGTGGACCTTGGGAACTTAAGAATACCTCCAAAGTATAGCATATGAGGACACAATATTAGTTCTATATGGTAAGCCTTGAGGATCCGATAGCAATCCCAGTTTAGAATTTGGTTGTAAATAAAAATTTGTTATATATCGATTATTTCTAATTAAGAAAAAAATTTATTTGTTATGTTTCTGTGATTGATAACAAATAACAAAAAATGTTAAATAATAATAAGAAGAAATAAGTTATTGTTATGTATAACAATAACAATAAATTATCATCCTAAGTTGAAATATATTGAAGTAGATTAAAGTACATTAAAGTACAAAGTACGGTGTTTCCCCCTTGCCTTCACCCCACAAACACAGCGGACAAGATCATGCATCAAAAGAAGTCCCCCATGAACATTTAATTCTTTTCTATTGCTACTCATTTTCCATCTTGCATAAATGTTCATGTTTTTCGTTTTTGTCTTTTTTGTTAAATAAACCATTGAAATACTATTGAAATGCTATAATTTGTATTGAGTTTGTTATGTTATGTTATGTTATTAAGTCGCAACAACGAAACGATCTATAGTATAATATCTAAAATATGTGCTTACAGTTATGTTGAAAAAATTTGAAGTACATTAAAGTACACCAAACTAGTTCAAGTTGTTCAAAGTTGCTTAAACCAGCTAAAGGTAACGTAATGTAGTTGAGGTTAGTTCAAAACATGTGTGCAGTAGCTTAAATTCGCTCGAAATACTTTAAAGCAGCGGAAAATAACTTTAAGTGCAAAAGTACACCGTTTATCAATAGTGTTTAACAGATAAAATGACACTTATAACAAATAAACAAATAAAAAGAAATAGAACAATGATTTTTGTCCGCAGTAACTTGAACCACGATTCTTTTGATCCAAGAGTACCAGATTCTATTTCTTGATAGCCCGCAACATTTTCTGCTTCGGTATCTTGAAGTGTCTTCATATCATTATCTGTTTTATATTTGAATGGCAATAATCGCAGATTTTCATCAGTTTTCAGGTCTAATGACGAAGTATCAGGTGAGATATTGTTCTGTGAGAATTTCGCTGACGTCTCGAAACGGATATGTTCAAGCGCAACTTTAGAAATGTCATCTAAATCAAATCGCCATATAACTACAAATAGTATCACATCTACGAGTCCCACACTAACAATCATTCCAAGCCAAAAGCCATACATATCCATATGAGCTAGAAACGTGAGAACATAAGCCAGTGGAAGTCCCAATATGTAGAAACCGACAAATAAAGTTATTGTTACATACTTTTGCATTCCACTAAAACATATATCAATAGCATTGTGTTGTAGGAAACAAACTGGAGTGAATAAGCATTTCTTACTGAAATCGGCGACACTGATCAATGAAACTATCAAAATCAAGATGGTGAGAATTCGATAACCTTGTTTTTTTACTCAATTCATGATAGTCTATCGTATTCGATATATATATTTTTAACTGATCAATGTCAAGAAAAGGAAGCTTCACCTATCACTACGTCTATTCCCGTTCCCGCCCACAGAATAGAACTTCATTCTATAGCAGAAGTTCAGTCCCTAGGTTATATTCTTCAAATAGATTAGGAGCCCATTATGTCTAAAATGACTACAAAAGAAACTCAGCGCATGACCCGAAGAAGACAAAAATAGTAAACAATTTCATTTCTGTTCTAAATCAGTACTCGAGCGCTCTATAATAGTTTATCTGTTAACAAAATTAAGCATAGCCGCGGTACTGGTAATGAAAATGTATAAATACACGATACTTTGAATCAATAAAATATTATTAGTGTTTATTTGTCCAGAGATGCTTTAGAAACTTATGATCCGTAGAAGATTTAACGAGTCTAATGTGCTTTTTCAAAATAATCAGCACACTTTAGTGACATAATTTTCATCTATCTATTTATTCATATATGTCTTTCGATGTTTAATCTGTTCTATCATATGATTAATGCATCAAAAATTAAGTCATCTGAAAAAGATGACTTAAGTCTGTTTTGAATTTTACACCAACCGTAAAGCTTAATTTATTTTTAATTTTTCTAGCCCTATCAGGACCTATGTGTCCAATCTGGTTTGCATTGTCTGTATTTTCTATCAGCGGGTAAATGAACTTCTTTTTATGTAAGCATACGTATTAATAGAATATAACTGTCTAAGAATTATTGAATAGAAATTAGACAGGCAATAATACTACCTACTAGTTTTCGTTCTCTAATAGGCTTATATACAATTCAGAAACAAAAACTATGCATATTTTTATTAACTTATTAATAACATTAGCAAAGCTTTCAATAAAAAACGAAAGTTCTCAAAAAGCAGAACTGTGACGGGTATCGATTATGCAAGAGTTTATCGGACTCAAAAACAAATGCGATTGTGGTATGATACGATACTGATTATTACACTACTTATAGAATCTTAACTATCTATGGCCCAAAAACTAGGAGATCCTTATTGTGTAATAAAAGGTTTAGTTTATATTTACCCCTAGAAAAAATAAATTGCACACCGTATTTTCAGGAAACTGTTACCATAAAATCATATTTTTTTAAAAGTAATGACATATTCTGAAAGCCCGTGAAATTTCCTATCCTTCTGTATCTTTATATATGCTTTTGTACTGATATACTGAAAAAATAAATCAAGTATATTGAAAACAACTTCATCAGCATTTCCCCACATACTAGATACAGTCATTGTCATTCCGTATAGTTTTTGAAGATTTTTTTCAACTTTAGAAACATTCTTTGAAAAAAGTAATTACATATTCTGGTAGAGTTTGAAATTTTCTATCATCCCATGTGTCTATCTATTTCATCCCATTTATCTATTAAACAATAATTAAAAATAGTAAGTTTGATCATAAATGACAAGTACTACAAATGTGTATATTCTCGTTGTCTTTTTTTGTTTTTCAAAATTTATGCTTCCGAATCAAATGAATTTCATGAAAGACATCATACTATTTGATAGTGTGTGAAATTTTCTATCATTCAATGTACTTTCATGTGGTCTTACGTTCGTTCTGTAAGATATTATTCACACATCACCTAAACAAACTTGAGCGAATTTTTAAAAAATCATTTTTTATTATTTTTTTTTTTATTTTCCAAGTCAAAGTCAACACATTAACAATTTCAGAGAAAAAAAATGTTCAAATGGTAATTGGAATTTTCAATACTCCTGAACTTTCCCAACCTTGATTTTTTATGACTTGATGGAAAACGTCTTGAATATAGTCGATATAGCCGCGTATTAAAGATCGTGAGATTTCCTTTCATGCATCGGTAACTAGTGGTTCAAGATGTTGTTGAGAATAAGGATGACGCCGTTGAACAAAATGGTTCATCCATGATCACACATATTCGATGGCATTTAAATTCGGACTTGCAGCAGGATATTCATCCAAGCATGTGAGATGATGCCGATACAACCAATTATGAGCTGTCAATGTATGAGCCCAGGTGGAGTGGTCGTGAATAAAATAATATTATCGTATTGATCGAAAATGTGTATTAAATGCCGATTGTAAGTATGGTGCAAACGTTGAAGTGTTAGTCCGATCTCCAATAAACACCAAATTCGATCGACTGTTAAACCATATAGCACCAAATATTGCAATCTTGTATTGCACTTGGCTTCGAAATTATGTAGGTCTTGGCCGATTATATGGTATCCAATGGACTACACCAGAAATATCAACCTCAAATATCTTTTCATCACTAAAAACAATATGTGGATAATTATTTTGTATATATTGTTGACAAAATAATAATCGTTGTTGTTCTTGTTGTTGATTTAGCATAGGCTGCTCTCTTGCTTGAACAGGACGAAAACCTAAACGTCGTCGATAGTTTGTAATTATTCCGCAGGTGATGTATCGATTTGTTCTTTGAAAAAATCGATTATTAATGTTCGGAGAAGTTTCAGTTGGATATCAATAAAACGGCTGACGCAATATATGAATATCATCATTGCTTAATAAAGCACGACCACGTCCTTCTCGCTCAGTCGCATCATCTGCTTCACGATAAAATTGTAAAATATAATAAACGGTTCGAATTGAACAATCACTAACAGAAGCTATTTGGGCGGAAGGCATACCTTGATCTAAACTTGACGAAATAATTCGCCATCGATTACCAACCGATAAATGACGAGGCATTACTAATAAATTTTACTGAATGTCAAACAAAAAATCAACCAAATTGTGCTGCACTCATGCGTTCATGATTATATATATCCAGCGAGCGTCATCGAGTCAAAATGGCTTTTATAGCACGTGAAAGAGGAGAGAAAAATGATGCCATGTAACGTTGATAAATCTCTATAAGAGATAACGAAAAAAACAGCTACTTTATAGTAACGAATAAATTACTTTACAATTTTATCACGAAGTATTTCTGTATAAACATGCATAGAATAATAGGAAATTTCAAACACTATCAAATGGTATGATGTCTTTCTTGAAATGCATTTGATTCAGAAGAATAAATTGTGCAAAACAAAAAAGACAAAGAGAATATACAGATTTGTAGTGCTTGTCAATTATGATCAAGCTTACTATTTCTTAAATATCGTTTAATAGATAAATGGGATGAAATAGATAGACACATGGAGTGATAGAAAATTTCAAACTCTACCAGAATATGTAATTACTTTTTTCAAAAAATGTTTCTAAAGTTGAAAAAGAATCTTCAAAAACTATACGGAATGACAATGACTGTATCTAGAGTGTGGGAAACTGCCGATGAAGTTGTTTTCAATATACTTGATTTATTTTTTCAGTATATCAGTACAAAAGCAAATATAGAGTTACAGAAGGATAGAAAATTTCACGGGCTTTCAGAATATGTCATTACTTTTTAAAAAATATGATTTTATGGCAACAGTTTCCTGAAAATACAGTGTGCAATGTATTTTTTCCAGGGGTATATATATACGTTGAAATAAAACGTCAAACTCACTGCACATCAACAAAAACAGCAAAAAACTTTTCCGTTACAGAGGAGCTCGAGCGAGCAATGATTGGAGCTGTCCATCTCTGACTCTAACCCATGTTTCTCGATGCAATGTTACTTACTGACGTTGAAAAAAACATTGGAGCCTTCTTGAGTAACACAAAATGACTTAAAAAACTTATTTTACCGCTGAGTATATTTGTCGTACGACAGAAAAAGATGAGCATTTCCTCGCAGTTGTACAATAAGAACGTTTAAATACATAATTTACAACTATTCTTGTAGAACTTCGTGAGTTTTATCGAAGTTTGTAAAAATATCGCCATATTGTTATAAGATTTCCGTTTCACCGATGTCTTCAGCGTGATTACCTTCTTGTTGGCTTATATGATGCACGGAAATAAAGCTTTTTTCACTTTTCTGAAATATTTCCTGACCAATGACTTAGATTTCCACGTGAATGGCTCATACAGAGACTCTAACGGCAAAGGAATATCTAGCACCAAAAGGTGGCAGACATCCCAGGCAGACAAACTTTTCAGAAAACGCGTTGAAACGTACAGAAATTGGTCTAAAATCCGTAAAAAGTGGACGTTTTTGGCTCACACTCGCGGTTCCCGACTGTGAGTTTAAAACATCCATTTTTCGTCCTTTTTGTGCGCTTAAACGCGTTGTCTGAAAAGTTTGTCTGCTTGGGATGTGTTTTGTTAAAACCAAAAACCTACTTCTAATAACACTGAGAATGTTGGTAAGACATTGTATAATATCGGCAAATGAAACGCACCGCATTTTGCAGAGATTATAACACTTCTCTGTATCTCAATCTTGGACTCAAATTTTGTTCATAACACTGTTTAGCGGTATCCTGGAGTGTATACTTCAACATTTCTTCAATTCTCTACAAGACTCCTGTTTCGATTTAGCTTGTTAATCGTAAGTTATAATCAGAGTCTAGAACCTGGGCCTGTTGCATGTAACATGAATTACAAATGAATTCTAATTCACAGAAAATCGACATAGAAAATGTTCTAGTATTTTCAGTTTCTCAGATCAAAAAGTCAGAGGTAACATCTTGCAGACGAGATTAAGTCATATGAAAATAGAACGCCAAACCATTGTCTCAAACATCGTAAATTTAGTCATGGTATAGGTTCTTGAAAGATCCTGTTGCCATATAAAATTTCCTAGAATCTTATAGTAATATCTTATATATGAATAAGATCTGTCAAGACTTTCATTTTACTCCTTCATACAAAGTTGTTGAGGCAGTAATTTTTCTTACGTTTTCAATCCGATGGCTGGACTAAATTTTATAAATTACTTATCACATCTTGAAACAATACAAATTCGACAGTTTTCTAAAAAACGGATATTCGAATGATTCTGTAAACATTCATTTTTAGATAAATAGAAAAATCTGTCATAATTCCGGAAATAATCGAACAAAATGAACCAGAATTTATCAGAAAATCAAAGCAACAATGATCGTTAGAGAATCATTCTGCAGCCTTATGTATGAGTCATCGGCAGTTTCGAATATTCATTCTTCTCTCTGGCAGCTGCAGTGAGTATGTAAATAAAATATCTTACAGCTACAGCTTGGTTTAGTCTATCTTACATGAATGGATACAAGTGATTGCTATTCTTTTTTAATTGTTTGCAACGAATGTTAAAAATATTTTTTCTGTCACTGAGCTTGATTTTCACAATTTTCCTTCTGTTTTACAGGCCATATATCGTCCACCATGTGATGTTATTGTATTTAATATTGAGGATCGAACTTTGAATTGTTCTCTTGGATTCGAAATATTCTTTTACATCATTCAATTTTTTCATTAACATTGCCAATGTGAAAATTTTCCCCATTCTAAGCTATGTATAAGCGGCTTATAATAGCTTATATTTGTCGCTTAAAAGCACCTGTAAGAGCACATTTTAAGTCACTTAAAAGCGCTTAGAATTTATTTAAGCGCTTATCAGCGATTAAAACATTAGTGAAAACTCTTTTAAGCGGCTTGCGACAGCTGAAAAATTTAAACTTTTAAGCACTTATCAGCTGCTTAGAACGTCGCAGTTGACCAGTAGCTGAGAAGTACTTAAGTATAGCAAAATTTAAGTGCTTATAAGCCATTCTAAGCCGTTTATTAATAGCTTACAATGGGAAAAGTTTTCACATGGGTAATCTCGCATAATTGAATCGGGAAGAAATAACGAGTAAGGCAGATATAATGAGGTACTTTTGTTTTTTATCTTTGAGACACGTAACAATCGTTTTATAATCTGGCTGTGAGCTCATTTTATAGAAAATTCATTTCTCTACAAAACTATGAAATGCGTTTTCCCAACAAATCCTTCTTGTCGAAGCAAAATTTCAACGGTTAACCCATATTCAAACATCCATCTGCAAATTCTTATTCTTTCCAGATATCAATTGATTTACTTAAGTCGGTGCTTATACAAGACCAATCCTCAAACTAAAGTATTTAACATCATTAGATAGAGAATTTTGTGCGCTATATTCCCAAGACCTTTGTCTGGCTTTTGGCGCTCTTGTTCTCGAGAAGAAACCTTCGGACTAATACCTGGTGCAAGTTTTGGATACATTTCGGAAAATAATGTTTCTTAAAGACAGACTTGTCACATAAAACGCTGATGCTTATGCCGTCATATACAGAATTCAATTCTGAGAAAATTGATATAAATGGTGACTCAAACACTAAACTGTCTTGACTACTTAGAATTAGCAAAGCACATAGTCATAGATCTGTTTGGAAAGAGTTCTTTTTCCGGTGTTTTCATATTTTCAAGTTCAAAACTTTTCCTATCAAATATTTATTTGAAAAACGCATTCAATAGTTTTGTAGAGAAATGAATTTTCTATAGAATGAGCTCATAGCCAAATTATAAAACAATTGCTAAGTGCTTCAAAGATAGAAAACAAAAGCATTCCAATGTCTCTACCTCGACCGTCATTTCCTAGAAGTTATGTTGCTGCTGAAATTTATATTCGAAATATTTTTTCTAATGATCTTTTTTTATAAAACTTCTTCTCGATAGCTTTTTATCTCGATTCTGTAAATCATAACATTTTACTATTTAGGTTTTATTTAAATTAAAATCAATTGAACTCAAGAAAGCTTATAAGAAGTTGTAAAAGTATAGATCAATTCACTGTACGCAATAAGAAGACGATTCTCTTCAAAATAAAAGGTCTTAGAAGACATACTTTTTTCAAAAAATGTTCCGATGGTGAAATCTAATTCACAATTCTACATAGAAGCGTCCGTGGATTTTCAATGAGAAAACCAAAGCTTCCATTTATACCTTTTTGAATACCAAACTTTCTAGAAAGCAAAAGTTAACTGAGGAAATGATATAGACTTTTCTAGCATATTATTCTCCATTTTCTAAAACTCATATCCAAATTTACACCGTGGATTTTAGTATAGCTCTGTCATAACTCAACTATAATTTTAATAAATTTTAAAGACAATATGAATCTATGACTAATCTTTACATCAAATGTATTGCTACTCCCCACATTAAGCAACTCGACTGGTACTAAACAGTGCTTTGAGAAAATATACTTCGTTATTGATCAGAAGCATTTCACTCTGAAAACTGAAGTCGTTTGTATTTCATTGAATCTCATGCCTTAAGTTGAATCAGTCACTTCAGATGGGAGTAGAAACAATATGATCATCTGATTGTTAGAGGTGATAGTTTTTATACTATCAAATAATCTTCTGATTTTTCTTTGGATAAGACGTCAAATCCAAAATAAGGACTGCTACGAATGCGAGTCATTCAGCAACAGAAACAAAGCTTGCTCGATCTATCCGCCAATAGACTAGCTAAAAGAAAATGACTAAATAGTTACCATGCTTTCACTATGCTAGTTTGAACAATATTCAACCCATCCAAGAAGCTGTAAAAAGCTCCAAATAACAGAGTATTGCGAGCAAGTGAAAGAACATTTGTGGGTGCGTTGAAGACATATGGTATCCAGTGATGAATGAGGATCACGAAAATCATGTTGACAAATAATAAAACTATAGCCAATGTATAAGTGACATTTTTAGCGTTGATTGCTTCTTTCGGTTTGTTGGCGCCGAGATATTGCCCGATGAGAACGTTACCTGCACCACCAATTGACATCATAATTATAGATAAAAACCAAACTGTTTGCTGAACTATCGTTTGT